CATTCGCTGCCCCTGCCCTGTCTGCCCTTTGTTTCCAGAAGGGTCCTGGGCGCTTGAGCCCCTGCTTCAGTGCATGTGTCCGTGGGGAGCTGCTGCCTGTGTGGGGACAGTCTCAGACAGTCTCTGCTCACTACCTGTATTCAGGAATTCACTCAGGGCTGCTGCCTGTATCTGCCCTAGGACCTGTCCCTAGTCACAGTGCTTGACTCACAACTCCCGTTCTCAGTGGGAGCTTGTGGTAAACATGGAATACACTCAAGTGTGGGGCGTGGTCACAGTGGCCACGCTTAGTCATTTTGGGGTAAATAACAATTAGCTTGAGTAGCTCACAATTGTGACTGCTATATATTTGTTATATACGTATAACAAATACATATTTATTGTGGAGTCCTGATGTGGTGCACCAGGTTAATGAGCTGGACTGCAAGGTCGGTTTGAACTGCAAGGTTGGCAGTTCAAGCTCACCAGCCACTCCTTGGAAATCCTGTACAGGGTTGCTATTGACAACAACAACAACATTGTATTTGTTAGTTCTACATTAATATTAGACTCCTAGCATTGTAGGATAAGCACTGGACTATGAGCCACAAGGTTGGTGATTCAAGTCTACCAGATAGTCCTCAGAACCAATTGGTGAATTAAGCAGAAATTTTGCTTCCAAGTTCTTCAAAGATTATCACAAGCACAAAGTAACTTTATAAAAGTGTCCCAAATGAAATCAAAGGCATACCTGTAAAAGAAAAAACACTTGTAATGTTAAAAAAAAAAAAAATGTAGGTAGTAATATATTCACAAATTTTAACCAAATTTAATTAACCATTTGCAATGGTATGTAGGTCACATTTTAAACATTTTTAAGTATAAGGGTAAGGAAAAATTAGTACAGGAACTTAAGAAGACACCAGCCAAATTGGCTTCGTTCCCAAGATGGGGCAACTGTATGCACGATACAACCAACATAAACCTGTCCAGACAAGTGTGATAGAGGCAGCTCCAATGATCAATGTGAAAAATAAAACTGTATTCTCATTTAGAAAAACTCAGTATCAATTATTAAAGCTCATTCTTCCCCAAAACTGTATTTAGGTAATTTCTGAGTCACATACAACCCATTGTTACCAACCAGCCTATAACGCCTAATAGAGGAAACTTTTGAGGCCCATACAGTGGATCATAATAATAAATGGATGCTCTTTTGCAATGTTTACCCAAGCATTCTTATACGGCATACTAGGCATGTTTTAGTGTATCTGGACATGTTACCTTAGTAGATTTTATACATAGAATGGTATACTATATACTAAGATGTACACATGACTGACGCTAGATATGAACCCCACCTAACTGTCCTGATTTACATACAAATCTTACTTAGGAAGGGAACTCGGTCATAGTCTGGGGACTGCCTGTATTTGCATATCGTCATTTAGAAACGAGAAAAAAATGTAAAGGTACAAAAAAGTCTTAGGAACAAATTATAAAAATCCCCTTAAAATATAAATATCCAGTAAGTGAAGCATACATGATATTGCAAGTATAGAAACACCAATAATTCACTTCTGAGAAAGGTGTATTTTGCTCTGTTTGGTGGTGGATTTTTGCTTAAGTATAAAGCACTTCACCAAAAGAAACAGGCCATTATTTAAAGATTTG